TTGCCTGGAGTCGTTTCTACTAGTAGTTCTATGCCTGAACAGGTTAGGGTTAGGATCAGGCACGGTTCTGGATAGTCTAGATATCCAAGAATGTAGATTTGCCTCAGTCACTGTTCTGGATAGTGTCCATTGCCTGGAGTAGGTATCGTATTCAGAACCGTGCCTATCTAGTTCTATGCCTGAACAGGTTAGGGTTAGGATCACGCACGGTTCTGGATAGTCTAGATATCCAAGAATGTAGATTTGCCTCAGTCACTGTTCTGGATAGTGTCCATTGCCTGGAGTAGGTATCGTATTCAGAACCGTGCCTATCTAGTTCTATGCCTGAACAGGTTAGGGTTAGGATCACGCACGGTTCTGGATAGTCTCCGCTTATCCAACAACGTAGGTTTTCTCCAGGTACGGTTCTGGATACGCGTTGACTATCCCGAACTGTATCTGACATGGTTCTGGATAAAGCACGGTTCTGGATTCAACAGTCAGTCCATGGACGTGGTTTGGGGATGTCTGACGAAATCCCCGACCTCGTTTGGTTCCAGATCACGCGCGTTCTCGCCAGACTGTACTCTCGCGGGATTTGATTTTTTTCCTTTCACCATCAAAATGTTATTGGAAATGGGCCTATTCATTGGACTTGAATGTGTTTGATATTGGCGCTTCACCACTTGTGACGGCACTCGTATATTCCTCCATTTGATGCCGTTCCACCTTGATGAAAACCAACAACTGGAAATATCACTCCGTAAATAGCTTTGAAGGCATCCAATGTAATTTCAGTGCAGCAAAACAAAAATATTCTGGACGAGGAAATGTCTGGGACTATCTGTATAAAATGTCTGATATTAACATTTTCTGCACATTTTCCTTATTATTCCATACTTGAAGCGTTCGTAATAGCCCCAAACAAGCTACGTGAAGATTCCCTTAAAGTTTATTTTTGAGTATCACCAATAAATAGCAAAGGGTGAAAACTAGTACTGAGAAAAGGGGCGGCTTAATTTTCTTCCCTTTCTTCTTCTAAGGTTTCAATTCAGTGACCTTTCGAGTACCATAAGACGATACTGACATTTTCGTAATTTCACACTTTTAATTAAATTCATAAAGCGCTGAAAGAGTCTGAAAACAAGCTACGTGAGGAGGAGTCCCTTAAAGTTTATTTTCAGGTACCACCAATAAATAGCAAAGGGTGAAAACTGCCAAAAAAGGGCTTGCAGCTTAAGTTTCTTCGCGGCTTCTTTCGGCGACCTTTCAAGTCCTCTAAGACGCGTGAAGGCGGATCGATACGGTGCGAGCCGGTACTCCATCATGACTGCAAGCCTCGCCGGCAGGTGGGGAAGACAGATAGCCACAACTTATCATCCCGGAGCGAAGAAATCTGCTGGCATCTGGAAATAACGCCAAAAGTCACGATCCCCGGCAGAAACGTAATATCCTTAGCAGTGGGTAGGACAGGGATGGACTGGGAGATAAAACTGAGGTAATGGAGGCTGGCCTTTAGCAAATGGAGCGAGGAATCCGCGGCAGTTTTTCCTTGATGAGAAGGGGCGGAATCGTAATAACGACGGTGACGTTGCTGACGCCATTTTTCATCCGGGACATTTTTCATCCGGGACATCTTTCATCCGGGAAACTGACGCTATCAGGGCGGCGCCTGCGCACTTTAATTTCTAATCATCTGCGGTCGAAACCGGCGAAGACAGGTGCATTATAGGTTAACTCGTGGATAAAAAATCTTGTCAAGAGCGGATCAGATAAAAGTTTAATAAAAACTTGGTGACTTTGAAACGTGGGAAGCACAGACAATCAGTGATTATTGTTGCGTCACTGTAGACTTTACCAGGCTTCAGAAGCGGCTAGAAAAAGTAGAAATTGGCCAAAAGGCAAATAGCAATTGCCAGGTGAGTTGGTCGGCTAAGGAGTACAGTTTTGCCGCTCCCCTGTCATGTTATCTGTATATTTGTCCAGTTTTCTACTCTTTCCAGACGCTGTTGTTATTCACAGCTAAGCCTGGTGTCCGGGACTTTGCCCATAATAGCGGAAAAGTACCAGCAAAAGAAGCACACAAAGTTACAGCAACGGTCAAGTAATATGCACAGAAGTTCGGCCCTAATGACCTCGATCTGCCATAGATAGGAGCTTATAGAATCCTTATAAGAATAGCCAAGCAACTGGCCGGTCGTTAGGTGCATGTTATCGCCCTTCGCGTGACCATAAACGGGCATCCTAGCGTCTGGCCGGGCGAGCTAACGGCTAGCGGGGCAGCTTTTTTCCTTGGAGAGTCTCATCTGGTATGCTGATCCCTTACCCTTAGAGAGAGCAGGTTAGATCCCTGGATTCAAGCTAAGATTACAACCGTATTGAGATACATGGACGGACGCAGGCAATAACCAAGGCCTGACAGTTACAGATGATGTCCAAGGGCAAAAGACTATGCAAAAGGGAACCTTTTCGCAGAGCCGTTAGCTGAAAAGGTTTGTTGCCTCTAATCTCCAAGCAGGTCTTTTGGTGTCTCTCTGACAGTATCAAGTTGGGGCAAGACAGTATCAAGTAGCAAAAGAAGTATCCACTTGTCACCCGTTTGGCCGGCAAAAAAGAGAGAGCCAAGTACAAAGCACCCCTACACCGGGCGTAATAAGCCGAAACCTAAATCTCAGCTTCAAGAGTGCGTTGCCCGTCGATCCGAAAGTTTCGAGGTTATTCAAGGTAAAACAATCCATCAGGTACCTCTAAGACTTGTGCTTGGGACTGGAATTGACGTTGTGGTATTTGAAGATTTGAAGCTAACATCACCTGGGGACATGTCCTTTTCTCAGTACTGACAGGCTATAGATCCTGTAGGGTGGAGGTATCCATCAATGTAGTGCACTAGAGAGAAGACAAGAGAAGAAGAGAAGAGAACAGTAACCTCGAGCTCTCCGCATTTAGAACATTATTACTATATGTAAATATTAATATTTGTACCAAATGCCAATTTGTAAATAGCCTTATCTATTGATGTGAAAAGTATGCAATTCAGCCACTTTATTTGGCTGCGATGTACTTTTTAAGGATCATGTTGATCAAATAAACCAGTCATTCATTCATTCATTCATTCATTCATTCATTCATTCATTCATTCAATGTTTTGTTCTTGAGTAATCTCCAAGCAGATCTTTCGGTGGTTGCAAGACAGTATCAAATGCAAGACAGTATCAAACTGTTCAGTGCTAGCCTCCACCAGCCTTCCTAAGGGGGTTAAGACAGTAGAATTCGGCAAAAATAGCGTCTGATCGGCCAGGAGAGTGGGTCCACTGTTAGGGCTTTATTGCCAAGTCAACTCTATGATGGCCAAACTCCCCGGGGCCAATTTATGTTCACTATCTGGGCAAATTTCACTGCTTTTAAACCCAAGGTGTTAGTCTGGTGCAGGTCACTAGTCTATTTGGCTAAATTTCACTGTTTTTGAACCCGCGGAGTTAATCTAGTGGATACTAGTTCAGTGTACGTCGATGAAGGTTAGACATCCAGGTAATACGATACGCCAAAAAGCAGTTACTCAAGCAACTGGATATGATTTTGACCGTTTCCAAAATCATGTCCAGTTGCCTGGGTAACTGTTTTTTGGCGTACTAGTTATTTCAGTGTCCTTGGGCGAAATGTTTCCGGGGACAGTGAGGCATGGCCCTACCCTGGAGTGTTGGATGGTGTTCAATACGGAAAGGTCGGGGGCAGGGAGATCAGGTGGATAGGCACTCATCATGGCGGCAGCTTCTGTCGAGTGGAAGTCGTACAAGATGGCCTTTGGTGTCGTGAGGTCAGGGCAGGACCTTCGCAGCGCGCAGATGTGCGTAGCTCTTCGTCAGAAACTGATAATTTGCCAACTCTGCAACTGTTAGGTCACAGGGTCTACTCAGATCGCTTGGGACCTGACACAAATACGTTGTTAGTTAGTGGGGCTTATTTTATCCTACGATAAAAGTATCATAACTCATCAGTTATCACAGTGGAAAGGTTGAGGTCGAGGCATTGGTTGGCATTTTTTTAATGATAAAAGATATCATCAGTTGTTCGCTAATATGAATTTGGTATTCTGTTTCCTGTTGAAGTTTTAATGTGAAATGAAATTGCCTTCTAAGCAAACGATGCGTTACGTATACATTCAATACTTGTTTATGCTGAGCACAACCCTAACGTAACGTACTAGCTAGAGAAAACAGATGAGTATGGTTCTAGAATGATCCCTTTGAGAAAATTGAAAAATGGCGTCTGATGTGTCTACAGTGTTGACAAATGACGTTCCATATACAGATAATCCCTGTCGTAAATTCTGGCCAAATTCCCAAAATGCATCGGCTGCTCGGAGGATTTGCCAAGAGGCCCGATGATGGCAGTGCGCATGCGCGGTACGAACAGGTGCAGGCATGTCCCGGATGTAGCAGGTTAGGCTAAGATCCTAGCGGAACGTTATTTCAAAATCAGATCCGCCGAGAAAATCAACGCTTTACTTTAAGATTAGATTTATGTGTCAAAACTTTTCAGGCTAGACGTACGATCAATAGGATGCATGCCAGAAGCGTACGCCACGGTGGGCAAATGCATTATACTGTAGATGAAAACCCCCTCAACACAAATCTCGTAAATCCAGGCTAGATGCGCCAGCGATTGTTTTGGATCCATACAATGGTATAATGAATAGCCAGATTATGAGCGTGGAGGATGGAATAGATTTCATACAAGTATGGAGCACGTGGGGGACATACTAAGCGGTAAACTGTTGAACTCAGCTTTGACGGTAGACGTGGAGAGGATGTTTCAAGTCGTTATGGCTTTTAGGCTCTGTTTTAAGATGCAATCTTGGTCATGTGAAGGCTTATCTTGTGATTTTTCTTACAAGGAAATGGAGTTGAGACTGCACGGCGTGTAGCGACAACGCATTTCGCCATATACACTCCTGCCACGTAACTTGAAATACGGAAATATTGGATTGAAAACTTAAACCCAATATCGAAGGTCTCGCCTCTCTAGGCGATGGCTTTCGACATGCTGGAACGAACACGGAAACAAAAAGTAAAAAAAAAAAGTGATATACCGTCCCACTTATGCCGCGACCTTGTCGATATGCAATTCATCGTGCGGCTTTTTCCAATAGAGTCATATAACTGTTAACGCTAATCAATATAACACCGCACAGTCGAAACATCGCGCAGGCCAGATCGATAAATACAGTACGGAAAGCCTGCTTGGATCTCCGAGGGAGATAGACTCGACAAAAAGCGCGCCGTGTCATTTATTTCCTGTCAATCTGATTTCTTTTGAATGCCAACTGGTTGCACCCAGTGACGTCTGTACTTTAGGGGATAAGCACGCCACTAAACCCGCGCACCTCTGCGTTCAGCGTAACATTCATACGGTAATTTGGCGTCCGCTCGATCAACTTAACACGCCGCTAGAATATCAAAAGAACGCCCAAACATCTCGAAAACTCAGGAGGCTTTCCGTGCCTCTGTAGATTCGATAAAATTACCGTATTCGGTTCTTTGAACTTGAGAGTGCAATAAAGGCAATATAGCCACAACTGCCCCCTGTGCCCTCTTACAACACCGCCGCAAGGTGCTCGCATTCCGATTGGAAAATTCTCCTACTACTTCTGATATGTGTCCAGGGACGTTGAGACTACTCAATGATATGTCTTCAAAGGGAACTGAGATTGTTTAAGGGCGATTTAAGATGCCATCTTCAGGCGTGCCTATCTGATTCTGGGAACTCTCATCCACGGAAGGATCCTTTTATCCTTGTATCCATCTTTTTTTGCCAATTGGCTTCAGTGTCCTTTGAAGGCCACGCTGATGTTTCTCCCCTGAGAATGAACGTTGTAGGTCACATACATCGTGCGATCGTGCCTGATCTCCTTATCAATCAACTGTCCAAATCACCTCCCACCATGCAACCGGAGCTATCAGCTCAGCCACCCAAAACAATGCCTCTGTACCTACATGACTTGATTTTGATGAATGTACGTCGGTGAGTTAGTAAAGAAATGGGGTTTGTTGAGCCTCCCCACGGCGTGCATCCATCCGAGCTTTCCAGAAAAGTTGAAGGGCTTACAAGTCACACATTAGCGTCTTCCGTCTCCCATTCGCTTGACTTACTCCGACTCTTTTATTTTTGTGGGGCATCATTTTTGATGCACTGCGCGTTCTACCGTCCATAATGGCCCATCCCTTGAACCAGTTTCAGGTTTCCGCGCAGTAATGGGGAAGGAACGAAGATAAACGCGGGGGAAAGAATCGTTTGTTGCTCAGGCGTAGGTGGAAGGGTGACCTCCTGACATGCCGAACGTCACGTACATCTGTCTTGTCACCTGTGAGCTGGTATTGCGTAAACTCACGAGGAGGACACGGGATGTGGTACTACAATTAAGTTACACCCACATACATTTTACATAGATGCCATAGATAGACTGTTCCTGCTGGTCGAACACCATAAGCCTCGCCCCATTGTATATTTCGGAGAGGTGTTCGAACACCCTGTTCTATTTCGAAATGGTGTTCGAACCCCTTGTTCTATTTCAAAATGTCGGTCGAACACCCTGTTCTATTTTACCGTTTCGAACAGGGTTCGACGTGTTCGATCAGAAGCGAAACATCTGGTTTCCATTCTAAATATTGGTGTGGGTTATGAAGTACCAGATTGAATATAGAAGTTGCCGGGCTGCCCGTATAATATGAAAGCAATGATAGCACAATAAACTGGGTGCTTCAATATTTTACGCGTTTCCTTTGACGATTTCGGAACGTACCAGCAAAGCTTTATTTTTCTAATAATTTTCTTGTAACATTCCTCTCGTGTGTGTTTAAAATCATTTGTTAAGAGGCCTTGTCATGCCTTTGAGCAACGTTTTCAAAATTCTTTAATAAAAAAAAAGTTTCCTCTCTAAGTGTGAAACAGCTCATGCGGGACGTGGGGTGTTAAGCCGGCTCACATGACGGTACTTCAGAACTTGTGATTAATATTGATCAGGGCTGGGGAAGGCAGCCGAAAGTCCCGAGCCCAATCACAATCTGCTATTTTCGTCGACAAGTAACGATTTTCTCCGCCCTCTAATAATAGGTCCATTCTATTAAGAAAGTCTTATAAATCTTGGTTTAATCAATACGCTGGAATAAAGCGTGGTTACAGAAGTTTCGACCGCTATTCAGTAATCTATATCAGGGAAATGAAAGGAAAGTTTACATTCAGATGATTTAGAACAAGGAGCAATTCTCACTCAGACACTCAGTCAGCCATTCACTCACCCACCCACTCATTCACTCACTCACTCACTCACTCACTCACTCACTCACTCGCTCACTCACTCACTCACTCACTCACTCACTCACTCACTCACTCACTCACTCACTCACTCACTCACACACACACACACACACTCTCTCTCTCTCTCACTCACTCACTCACTCACTCACTTACTCACTTAATCCCGGAGCAATAACGATACATAATTAAAAAAAAATAGAAGAATATGTAGAAAATATATTGAAACTGCTTTATTCTAGTGTATTGAAGATAGATCTATAAGTATTACATTCCTGGATGAGTAACGTCGATTCGCTTTAAAGTAAGAAGACAAATGAACCTGTCAGACAAAAGAAGTATGAAAAACTGACGAAGGGACACGCCTATCGGTTTTCCATTTTGTCGCCGCAGGTGGTTTTATCCCTTGAGGACATAAGAAGGACCTTTGACTCTCTATCTACGCAAATGGCGCTTCTGCGCATGCACTTATTTGACAAAACAACCTTTGTTGCTTCCTCGGAGGAGACCTTCCGGCCATTTCCTGTCATCAAACCAGGAGCGGTGGTTGATTAAAGGACAAAAACTTCCATCGCAAAAACTAGCTGACTGCCAGACTTTAGAAGCGGTCGGAAAGAGTAGAAATGGGCCAAATAGGCAGATAACGTGCCAGGGGAGTTGGGCCGCTAAAGGAGTAACGTTACAGTTTGCCGCTGAAGCTGGCATGTTATCTGTCCATTTGGCCAATTTCTACTCTTTCCAGCCGCCTCTGAAGCTTGGTTAAGGCTACGCAAAAACCTCTCCCGACTCAATAGCCCAGCCTTTATCCCTTTATCTTGTAACAAGGAAAATACTAGAAACTCTAGCTACCTCTTTCTAACGTACGATAACGGTAAACCTATTCTGATTGGCTGCTGTAAGAATCTAAGATACATTATAACGGACGTCTCGTATAGAACGTTCCGGCGAGGTGCGTTTATCTTTGTCAAGTTCGCAGCAGTGAGCGGCTAGGAAGTCGCCATTATCCTTATTGATATCGATCAGTTTCTATGGAAAACAGAAAGACACTGAAACGACATGCCACTGGCAATATGTTCACGGTTTCGATGAGAGTTTGGCAAAGTTTCGCCTGAAATTGAGCTTGACTCAGGTGCAAATGAGTACCTAGCTTCGGTTAGGGACGTCTTCGATGGTAGGACGTAAAGCCGGAGGTCTCGTGTTTAAGAGGGGCTAAATCTTGAGGACGTGCGAAATGTACATGTAGATTTGTCCCAGGCATGGTTCTGGATACGCGTGGACTATATACAGAACCGTGCCTGAGCATGGTTCTGGATAAAGCATGGTTCTGGATAAAGCATGGTTCTGGATAATCGTGGACTATCCAGAACCGTTCCTGAGCATGGTTCTGGATAAAGCATGGTTCTGGATAAAGAATGGTTCCGGATACAACAGCCCTAGCCTGTCAGGTGCAGAAGCAGCTGAGAATCCTCACCACCAGTACCCGGTGCACCTGTTTCCCCACACAGAGGACCACCAGCCTCGTCACACGCGCCATTTGTGATAAGCATCAGCGCGCGTGCCACTCGGGCGGAATTCTTCTCCGGGCTCTTCCCGCTTGTTATGTTAGTCTCGGAAGGTTTTCCTTCTCAACGACTATGCAGTCATTGGGTGAAACTAGACGGCCATTGATTAAGTGAAGGCTTAATGCCTAACAGTCGTAAAAGAGCCGCAAAGTCGTTTATTCCGTCGTAAAAATGACGTTAGTCGCAAACTTCTGCAAAGTGGACGCTTTCCTTGAATTCTTAACATAGGCTACGAGGTAAAAAAAAACACGGATTATTGATTGAAAAGTTAGCTTTCAATAAAATAGACCAGCCTGTAAGCACTCTGAACCTGAAGATTGGCAAAACATTTCCTAGTATGTTGCAAATATCTGAGATTCCATCTTCTGCAACTTGTCCTCTCTGTCTTCCTGGTCGCCCCGTTACCTTAGTGACGGAGAAAGATACATGGGGTTCCGGTTGCGTTCTGATGCTATCTTCCCACCGCCTGCAGCGGTCTCAATAATGCACTTCCCTCTCTACAGATAGAATCAGGCCAGCGAACGGAGCAGAAATCCATCTGTGTCTTCTTCATAACAAGTCAGCGGAACAGAAAAACACACTGGTCTTTTACTACTCTTTCTCTGTCTTAGGCGAGATACAATCTTTTAGAAGCAAGCTAGTTCTAAAGAACCATAAAACACGATGGTATTTCACTATTTTAGCTCTGTCTTAGGCGAGATACAATCTTTTAAAAGCAAGGTATTTCTAAAGAAACAGAAAAACACGACGGTCATTTACTACTCTAGCTCTGTCTTTACTTTTAGAACCACGAGATACAATCTTGGAAGAAAGCTAGTTATAGAGAAACAGAAAAGCACGATGGTCTTGTACTATTTTAGCTCTGTCTTAAGCAAGATACAATCTTTGCTTCGAAACACGTTGGTCTTTTATTACTTGAGCTCTGTCTTAACTTTTAAAACCACGAGATACGATCTTTTCGCAGCAAGCTAGTTATGAAGTACCATAACACACGATGGTCTTTTACTCTCAGACTGTCTTAACTTCTAAAGCAACGAGATACAATCTTGAAAGCAACCAAGCTAGTTATAAAGAAAGTGAGTAAAAGGCCAGGACAGTGCCTCCCACGTGAGGCTTGGCGTACGCAGAGTTATTTTATCCACATTACGTTACTCTGTGGGAGGGGTGAACTTAGACATTCAATTTTCTATCTCCACACTAGGGAGGCGGTCGCAGCGGTTTATCACGCGGCTCTAGATGAACGTAAAGAGTGTTAAATTAACTCCCGTGCTCTTTATTATACACTAGATAAAGGGTTAGGCGAGCAATATGCCAAATAGGATAATGGCCTTATCTTTTTCTAACAGACGCTCGGTCCTCAGAGACCCCCTGCCACAGTAGACGCTTCAGTTGTGTGTGAGAAGTGACAGGGTGCGTTCCGCCTCGCCGGCGCTCTGCAATTTTGCCGGGAGCTCCGCGAAGATACCGCGAGGGTAAAACGGCAATGTTCCGCCGCTGATAGCTCAGATTCTTAACGTAATGGAAGTTAAGGCTATGGGTCTTCTTAAGTGGATACATTCTATCGGTGTTATGCTCTGTTTGTGAGAAAATGTATGATAACGTTGGGCCAAGTAACTACGGTCGGAACAAAGAGTAGGAAAGCGTTTTTAAATCATCTCACGATGTCGTTTTTGAGGCAGAAATTGGAGAAAAAGGTCAGAGTATTTACGTCGATACCGAAATGTCAGAGAGTTAAGCAGTTAAACCTTTCTATATGGTAAACAGTTTGGTGCCGTTTGGAGTAACAATGAGGGTTGCGCCATTTCTCGGTGGATTTGGGGTGAGATGGGCGACCAGGCTGGTTAACAGCGTTTCTCTCAGGATGTGGGGAGGACATCTCAGCCCAGTAATTACTGACTAACGGTGAACATCGTTATCCAGTTACTACTGTAAACGCTGTGTGTATAGGGTACAGGCTTATAGACCACCGCTCAAGTCGACTAAAAGGACATAAAAGAACCGTGAGCAAAACCCCATCTACTCTTGACTTCACGGTTTTAAGTACGCCAGGGATGTTTTTACTTTACGTGTGTGAAATACGTAACAGTGAGAGCCACAGGCGACAAATTTAACACGACAAAATGCCTGATATTATCTTCTGTGAATCTTCGCCCTTTATTCTGGAAGCAGACAAGGCCAAGGTTTATTAGAGGTGCCTTTCGTTCGTTGGAAATGATTACTATCAATTCATAGTACCCGCAATTTATATCGGAAAATCCTACACGGAGTTTCAGAAGGCCATACAGCTACTGCCGATGATGATGATGACTAAAACTGATGTTTGAGTCTATGTGTAAGTTTGCTGGAATCAGAATTGCCAGGACGAGCAGCTGATATATTGTACATGCGGTAAAAATGGACTAAACAGATAGAATACAATTCTTTCCATAATTCAGCTTAACACGTTTTTTTAGGAGTAAAATACTTTCTGAACTGAATAAATGGGGTGAATGATCAGTTCTACTGATATCTGCATACGAAATACGTAAATAGGAAAGGATCAGAAGAATCGATGTAAAAGGTCATGACCGTTCGGTCAAAAAGGTCAAACCAGTTTTAATCTGCCGACACGTCCCACTAATCTCCATTAATCTGAGCGGGTAATTTATCCCCATTAATTCACCAGTCGCCGTTCAGTGATGGATCGCTTGAAGTATTAGATGAAATGACGACATTCATTTACACTGCTTTTAACACCGCAGAACAATTCCTCAGGGTTTAATATCTTTCGCGTTACCCAATTTTTTCCTCCAGAGTTCTTCCAATAAGTTTTCCTGGAGGTACGCAGACAGATGATAAATTTTCTCGCTTGAACCGATCGATTCTTCTTAATGGAAAAGCTGCCAAACTCTGAAGTACGTGATTCTCCCGGTTTAATATAAAGTTTACCAAAGTGAAGAAGCGCTTGACATTTGATTACGTGCTAAAAGAATCCTAAGGGCCTTTACGTAAGGGTATACAGTAGCGGGCCTTCTCAAAGACGCGCATTGTATGCAGAGCTGTGCCTATCTAGTTGTATGCCTGAATGGGTTAGAGTTAGGATCAGGCACGGTTCTGGATAGTTTACGCGCATCCAATAACGTATAGATTTGCCTCAGGTACGGTTTTGGATACGCGGTGGACTATCCAGAACCGTGCCTGAACATGATGATG